CGTCTACAAGTTTTTTTTTTTTTTTTTTTTTTAAGACGCTTAATACCGTACGGGAGAAAGATATCAGATCATATTATTTTCAACTCACTTGGCCACATTGGCAATCGGACCAAAGGATTTATTATCGGAAGCTTCTTCACATTCTCCGTCTTGTCCATTGATCTTGATCTCTCGTTACGCAAACTCACGTTCGAACTATCCAAACAAGAAGCGGTCGCCGTCAACGACATAAGTTCTGATGTTTTCAGTAAACTGCCGCTGCTGATACGTCGTGTAGCTTGCGGAGAAAATCCTGAGTCGGGCAGCTCCACAGTCACTATATCGGAAAAAAAGTATGATTTAATATATCAAAATAAATTATTGTTAATGATATATCTCAGTTAGAGATACTCACGTCTTTCCATATGGCCGTTGCTATACTGTCTCATATGCGGGTCCAGCCTGTCATTCAAATTAAGCTCCTGATGGCTCTTGATCGACATCGATGGGCTTGGTGGATCAATGATGACACTAAACATCGGCGGATAGTTCGTAGGGGGTATTTCGTTAACCGGCGTGTTGTCCGATGAGATGTTGATGCAGCATATCGGGCTCAGCAAATCGGACGTCCTTTCAATATTTTCAGACTTGGTCGCTATGGGTATCACATTCGTCTCCACAGATTGCATTGACTCGTTTTCTGACACACGCAAACACGTCGCTGAGCCTTCTGTTTTGCATTTATTTTCCTGATAAAAGAAATAAGATGCATCAATTTGTATATTTTAATTCGGAGCTAACACGCGCTCGCAAACGCGTGTTAGTCAGAGCACTGATTTAATCTCAGGAAACTTAAATTTCCAAAGTACCTCAATATTCACTCCTTTGTCCATTTTGACATTTTTCTTTTTGAATGACTGTCTCGCGATGTCGTCTCCCTCAACGAACCGGGCCAAACTACAAAATTTCTGCGGTTTCTGCGGTTTTTCGATTTTCTCGATCTTCTCGAAATCCTCGAGCATCAAGCATTCTTTAACAGAATCATATTTTTCAGTCAGTATCGTACTGATCAAGTCTTGTCCGAGAGAACTTAGATCGTCCATCATGCTCACAGACGGCTGAGCCTCGCTGGGAAACACGTCAGAGTTATCTGGCGAGTCGATGTGCCTAATCTCCAAGCTGTTCGATTTTTTCGACGAATCGAATATGTCACTGTCTATATAACCTGAAAAGCGTGAGAGGAATTATCTAATAATTACGTATATAAAATATACACAAGAACAGCGCTTCTACGATATTACCATGTAGACAAAGATCCACCTACCGATTTCGCTTTCGCTATTTCGAACGGTGTAGCTCCTGGAGTCCAAAGTGTCGGAGACTATGCTGTCCGTACTGATGATGCTGTTGGTACAGCTACTACTACTCGGATCTACTTTAGTCTTCGGGTCACGCTTTTGTGCGTGAGATTCTGATGAGATATTTCTAGAATGAAGTGAATCTGTATCAGGAGAAGTGATAACGTCTTGCATGGTCGCGTCGTCTGATGGTATGCTTGTATCCAAGGAAGTTCTCGTCACAGTCACTGGGATATCGGAAGAGACTTCCACTTGTGTGAGTTCAGAGGATATAAAATAATCGTTAGTAGCTACTTGCAGTCCCAGCTGAGTGCAAGGATTTTGCACTGTGAGCCCATCAAAACTGAAAGCTCTAGAATCAAATTGACATACGTATAACTGTTAGAATCACAGCAAATTAATGACTATCTCATGTGTGTTGAGTTGATTAAAGTTACCCTTGCGGTATGTTCTCGCTATTTATTCTGTCGGTGAGCCTGTCAGGCATAGAAAAAGTCAATAGCCTTTCTGGCTGTAAGTCTCTCCTGAAATCCGGCATTGGGCTTAAAGATTCCACGTTAGGGCTGGGATATGGTGAAATGCTGACAGAGTCTATGCTGCTGGCAGAGTCGATGATTGGTATTAAACTGAAGTTGTTGATTTGGTCTATTTGTAGTCCAGGTAAATCTAATTGTTGGTTTTTACCTTGAATTATGCATTACGAGAAAATGAGGTTAAAGGAAAACTATAAGTAGTTCATTTATCGTCGTAATGTGAATAACTCACTCGCCAAATTTATCGGAGAAATGTCGGATGTTATGGTAATGTTTGGCATTTTACTACTTTGCCTTTCGTCTGAAGGATTATTCTGTTCATCGATAGTCGATTCCGTGTGTTCCACTAAACTCCGAATAGCTCTTGTCAAGCTATTTGCTCTGAAAAAGATAATTAAAAAAAGATTTATATATATTTAATTTTATTTTAATAGTAATATATATATATATATATATATATATATATATATATATATATATATATATCCCCATACCTAGACATCACGTTATCTTTTTCCATATAACATCTTCTCTTGATCTTGTTTAGATTTGTTATTTCCTTCTCTAGTTTTTCTAGAATTTCTTCTTCTTGGTTACTACTCGAAATATCTGTTCTTATAGTATCAACGTCAGCATCTTCCTCATCATCGGATAAGTAGCTTTCTTCTTTCAATAATGTTTGCAATAACAAGTCAAGTTTTTGTTGAAGTACTTCGGACTTTTCTCTCAGTTCTTGGTCCCCTATGTTTAGACTGGCGTCCAGTATATGCTTTGCAAAATCTTTTACTGTTTCGCATAAAGCTCTGTGAAAAAAAAGATTACGGTTCAATGCGAAACTCACAAAGTTGGTATACAATTTTACGACTAACTTGAAATTACTCACTTGATACTAGATATAATTACATCGTCTTGATCAGATTGCAAAATGTTTGTTATGTGAGCAAGAACGCTGTCTTCGTACTCGTGAACTATGCTCGAATTTAAAGCCGGGTCAGGCTGATGTAAAGTCACTTTATGACATGGCAGAGGTATACCGCGTTCGAACGTCATAATGCTCCACCGATCCAACATCTTCGTGCCCGCTTTTTCGTACTTTTCTAGTAACTGAGGTAAATGTGTATCATCGTCGCACGATGCACCCCAGCCCAACACACGGGCTAAATCGTTTCCCGTTCCTAAAGGCAGTACTCCAACCTGGCATTGCTTCTGCAAATTTCAGAAAAACATAAGTATACGTCTCTATTACAAGACACACGGTATATAATATTTAGTCGTACATACTAATATCTTTATTAGAATGCTACATATTAGTTAGATTAGTCATGCAAGTTCATACTTACCGTCTGTAAATAAAGTTAGAAGTTTTGCATACACAAAGCCTAAAGCACACACACCAGTTTCATCTGCAATAGAATCATAAAAGAGACACGCCAAGCACACTATAATAGGAAACTTGAAGAAGTTAATACCATCAATGCAATATCTTTCATAGATCTGGTTACTCTAATACAGTTTGCCAATAAGTATACCAATATACACGTTAAAAGAAGGTCGGGCTACGTTAGTAATTTTCAAACGGCGCTTCTTCTATACCAAGAGCTTGACAGTTGCGCGCATACTGCAATTATAGCAGAATTTAATTTCATGCACGTATAGCATAAAAAATTATCTAATGTTAAGTTGCTATGTTAAGTTACTGTGCAAAGAGATATGACTAATTAGTGCAGCTCTGATAGAGCAGGATTAGACTCAAGGAAAAATAATAAAGGCTAAAGTTCCATGCCGAATGAAACTACTTCTTGCAAGACATAGGCTTACTCACATGCATTCCTAACCGATCGATTTCTGAAAGTACCCATCCTACAGATCCGTCTCCACTGCACACCAAGATCCGGAAAGGATCAAAGTGACGGAACAGTTTTAATCTGGGTAAAAGACACGATTCGTATATTCGATGTACTTGCACACTCCCCCGGTGGAGTGATTGACGAGCAAAGATTCTCGATTGATCGACACTCGCATTACAGGAGAATTCGCTTACCCTGGAGCTGGTCCTCCTTTTATAAGGTCGAACACTTGTGCGGGATTCAGTAATTGTTTAAATCTCCTAAGAAACTTAATACCTTGATTGTCACCAGATTTACTGTTTACAAATACTAAAAGTGGACTGCAGCCCGTAGGTCTAACTGCTTCCCAGGCTTCATCACTACCTGATAATTTTATGTGGCATATAGTTGTTAATGTTACTTAAGTTTTGTATATTTTGTACAAATTTGACATTTACCTATACTATGCAAAGCCGTAGGAGGTACTATACTCAATTTAGCTGATCCTAGTGGACATTTGATACTTGTAGCAGATTTGCATACTGTGTGTATGGTTGCTCTGCACCATAAACACCGCAAATCTTGAAGCCTGTGAATAATGTGTCCATTATAATTTCTCTATTGATTTCTTGTGTGAAAATTATATTGTAGTATGAATACCTAAGTACAGAGCCACATGTCTTCTCACAGACAAGACATTTTGAGGACACTGGCAAGTTTCCCTCCATCCACTGATGTGGCATTATAATGTTCTACAACAAAAATTAATGTGTGCTCAAATAGGTTACAATCAATTTTTCTCATTGCAAATAAGGTGGAGATATATACATACCCCATCTTGGTCCTCAATAATATCTTTTCCGATGGAGGATAAAGTGGTCCACTTGCAATTATTTATTGCTTTTGTGCTACATCTCTTATGTACCTTGTACTTACACATTTCACAACTTAGACCATGGGAAGTAACACCTGCAACAGTATTCCACATATTGCATGAATTTGTAATTAATGATATTCTTGAGTGACTTTACATAAATAATTTTGACTGTTTGTTTTTGGTATATGTCTATTTATAGAAATACAATTTTCCTTACCATGCAGAGCATCTCTACAGACATTGCAGTATGTAGGTCTGGCATGATTAGTTGCATACCACTGATGATTACCATCTAGTAACTCTGCAATCCCAGAATCATCCTGAGAAGGACCTTCTGTTGCTTTTAATGTAGGCTGCCACTCCTCCATGTCTTGTTTGTTTTCACCGCATAAAACCAATTATCCAAGAGGAGTTATCACCTAATACGCAAGAAACAAAATGCCATATAGTGATATTTTAGTAATTATGTTATGTTAAAACATACAAAATGATATATATAAATCCAATGTAAGAAATACAAATTTATGATATAAATTGATATCTTATTTCTCTGTTTGTACTTGTCAGAGTAAAACAATAAATTTGTTGACTGAAACATGCAAGGAACAGTTTTCGAAACTGGAATTAAAACGAATCACTGCCGCCTTCAACGTCTCACGATCGAGAGGAGTAGTTCAGCAGAAGAGCTCGGAAGCTCGACATCAATGGAACATCGATGTTTGCGACGTGTGCGTACATGTTGATACCAAGCCAATGGTCTATTGATTATAAACAATCGGTAATGTGGTATTGCTACTGGATCCAGATAACTAAGAGGTGGGATGTTCGAGCGAACGGCCGGACGACCTAATTGCAATCCAAGAGATGCGTACCCACGTCCATTCCGCAGGCTTAACCTCAGCAGCGACGACACATTGAGCGGGTTCTTCGTTGCTTCGACATTTGAATTGCGGTTCGCGACGCGGAGGCGACGACAACGGCGAAGTCATTCGCGTGAGTAATACGCACGACCCGCGCTTCGATTCACCGTTTTGACGAATATCTGTCTCACGACCGAAGAGTCAGCCGTCACTGCGCGACACATACACGTGTTCTCAGTGAGGCGCGTCCGAAACAACTCGCGCGACGCAGCGTCGGCGGCGGCGGCCGACGCGACGCAACGCGACGCATCGGCTCGTCCGTTTCTTCTCCGGCTTTTGTTGCCGCTGCCTCCGCCACAGGCAACGCGCCCTATTTCCCATGGCGCATGTCACGACGTCGCATCACTTATTATAAATAAATATCCCGCGCCGGGATCTGCGCGTGTGTCATTGTTACGAGAACGCTCTCGTGACACACGCGCGATACCACGTGCGCCATTGTGTCTCGCCTTGACGGCCGAGACGACGCCGACGCTTTCGCGCCGTCTCGAGCTACGAAGGAGTTAAGGCGCGGCGCAAACATAGCTGTCAATACACTCGGCGCGGCACGATGTGGCTGTCAATACATCGGCTATCTAGCTGGACGCCGGCGGCCGCGCGTTCAGACGCGTTATCGCGCGCGTTTATCCGCGGCGGGAACAAAACCTCGCGCCCTCGCACCGTCACGCGCCGAAGCGACCAGCCACACGTGTCGGTCGTATTTATTGACAGGTGGACACAGGGGTGTATCGAGGCGCTATCTCTGGACAGGCGTGTGTCCTTCGTAACGGGCGGAACTTTCGAAAATTCTTTCGCGATATTCTTCGCGATCCTCGTGATTTGGAAAGTCGTCCTTGCTCTTTGGTACACGTTTTCTCGTCGAAGTTTGCGATTGAATGTAGTTGAAAGTTGCCGTTTCAAACGTGAAATCGGAAAATCGATTACATAATCGTCGAATGTTCAACTTTCCCGCTTTTCACTTTCATTGATGTCTCGAAAGTTTTTGCTCGTTCCCTCGAGCTTTCAGGGAAATTATTGCGGCGATTTCTATCGTCGAGAGGAAGTGAGAAGGAAAAGTTGGTTGAGTATGCTCGCGTGTGTATGTTTGGGGTTATCGAGCATCGAGATCACGTTTATCTCCATCGCGTCGATTCTAAAGTGAATTATTTGACTTTCATGTGGTAAATAGGAGGGTGAACAATACTCTCGGAAGAAACAGTGCGCCTCTTTAGCTCAGTGGTAGAGCACTGGTCTCGTAAACCAGGGGTCGTGAGTTCAAACCTCACAGGAGGCATGCCTTTTTTTCTTCTTTGCGATACGATTAGCTTTTGGAGGCGGACACGATTACGCAATGAAATTATTATTAACATTATTATTATCTTTTGAACTATTATTAATCTATCTGAACATTTCTGAAGCAATTTTAAACAATTTTTAGGTAGTTTCGCAAAGTTTTGAAAGTAAACATTCTTCAACCCAGATAACACAAAATCTTCAGAAAATGTTCTGGGACGTTCTTAGAATGTATCAATGTCCTTAAAATATCCTTAGAACGTTCTTTGAAGATTTGTGCTGTATGGGAAGTCGCGCGCGTAGGAACACTATTAACAAAAAGCACACACGTCACGATTTTGTTTCTTTGAGCTAATAATACATAAAATGTCATAACATCGCGTGATACAGACATTACATTTACGATACGCGAACTTGTTCCAGCAAACTGTTATTCCATCAAACAAGATCGATTGACTTTTTTTTTTCTTTTTCATTACCAGACTCGGCGACGGAGACCACGACGATGATTCCGACAGCCGTCCCTCGGGTCTCGTATCTATTACGGGGGCGACTTGGCGAGTTCGCGAGTTGAACGAGTCGGTGCAAATAACGATCCGTGAATTATGACGACGAGTAGGTGGACTCGACGACACTACCGTGTATTTGCTTTATCGTCGCAGCCACTCTTCAGCCCCGGGAGTTGGTTAGTACGTACGTGCGTGGATAAAGAAATTGGTGGACAAGCTCATCCCGACCACTAAGTAGAATAAAAAAAGTCACTTCATTATATACACACACACACACATACACACACTCGTGCATACATGTGTGCATACGCTACGACATGTTGAATGTCAGGTGAGATTGAGCCTGTCGGTTGCGGCCTTTTATGTTATCCATTCGCCGCTTTCATTCTGCGAGCCGCGATATCACGCGAATTCGAACGCGAAGCGGCCTTTGTGCATACGGCCGATCCATTCATCGCGCGAAAAAAGAAACGCGGTCGTTTCTACACTTTCTCTTTACTTTTCTTTCTTGTGTTCTCTCTCTCCTCTCCCCCCTCTCTCCTTCTCTATGGAGGTGAATACAATTATGTTTTCCATGCGAATAACGTAGTTTGCGACGCAATAAATTTCTGCGTCAGCGGTGCAAACCGTTGCGCTCTCTCGCCCATTGGCATTCTCAAAATGCAATCTAAAGCCGTATAAACGCCCGCAGATCCTCTCTTCGATAAGTGAGTTTAACTGATTCTCCCAGAACGAAATTGCCGGTTATGTGGTTTCAGATTGCTCGGGTCGCCGTATTGTTCGCAACGATCCAACTGTACAATGGAGACGACAGAGGTGGTAAATAATTTCGGTAATAGTATTTTGTACTCGCGACAACGATACTCATCTTGCTTCATATAGCAAGTAGTAGTGTAGTGACGAATTAATGTGGGCGAGGTAAAAGCACCAATTCCCGGACACATACCTCTCATCCTGGACATTCGAGTGTATGAAGTTGGCACCCCACTTTTTGAAATTTATAATTTTGAAAGTTGTTTCAGATTGTTCTGACTTTGTACCACATTGTTCCAAAGTGATATTGCTTCATTCGAAACGGTTTTCGAATAAAACAAAAAAAATGATTTTTTGAGCTGGCACCCCACTTTTCGAAAATCGAACATTCTGATACCGCAATAGATTGTTCTAGTTGTTCCAAACATTGTTACAAAAGAACAAATCCGTAAGTTGAATTATAAGTCCAAAAAATGAAAAAAATGTTTTTGACCTGGCACCCCATTTTTTGAAAATAAAGCATTCCGATACCGATATAGATTGTTCTAGTTGTTCCAAACATTGTTCCAAAAGCACAAATCAATAAGTTTAATTATAAGCCCGAAAAATTAAAAAAAAGTTTTTTGACAAACAGTCTATCGGACCAAGAGTAAACTTATACTATCTTTCTTGTTTCAACCGAGATCTTTTTGTTCTGAGTTGTTCTAGGCTTAAGAAGCCTAGGCTTAAGAAGCCTAGGCTTAAGAAGTTCTAGGCTTATAGTTCTAGAGTATGAGACTCATAAGATCATTCGTTCTCCGAAAATTCGTAAAAAAATCGATTTGACAGTA